ATTCTGCTCCCGGTGCCAAAACGCCACAAAGAGCAGGGACTGGAAGACGCCCCCCTTGGGTTGCTCCGGGCAGTGAAGGAGCTATTCCAGGCTTATGGCGACATGGTGGAAGTGGCCGACCTGATCGGCCGAAGGCCCTTCTTGGCGATGCGGCTGCGGACGAGGCTGGCCGTTAGCTCTTCTCCTGGGAGGGGGCTGGAAAAGGAGGTTTGGGGTACAGGCCGTTGGGGAGGAGGCAGCCGAGGGAAAGGCGCCCTCCTGCAGTGCCCAGGGCAGCATCCTCAGGCGGGCTTGCTCTTTAGGACAGGGTCCCTCAACCTCAGGCACTTTAAAACGGGTGGACTTCAACTCCTAGAATTCCCCAGCCAGCCGTGTTATGGGGGTGGGGAGGGGACGGGCTGGGAGCCCTTTGTCTCTGCCAGGAAGGGGGGGCAAGGGATGAGCTCGCCCATCCTGGAGGCAAAAATCCAGAATCTGGCAGCCCCTTTTCCGACGCACCATTTTTTTTCCAAAGGCAGAGGTTTTTGTGAAGACAAGATCCAAGACTCTTCCTTGGAAAGAAGAGGCTCTTCTCTTCTCTTCTCTTCTCTTCTCTTCTCTTCTCTTCTCTTCTTTGGAGTGCTAGTGGCCAGGAGGGGAGGTGTTTGGGATGGGTGGGCTAGTGGAGTGCCAATCCATGTCTTAAATACCCTCTTATCTCCCCTTGGGAACCCCCAGAAGCCCACCTGCAACCCCACCCAGGCCCGCTTCACCTTCGTTTTCCCGGTGGAGAGAAAGAAGGCCTGTTGGCTGCCACCGCTTGGCTTCCCTGGCACCAATCTGGCGAGGCTGCCCGGACCAGGGTGCGAGGGCAGTGCCCTGCCCATAGGAGCAGCAGCCTCTCCCCCACCCACCCTGCTGATGTCCCTGGCCTTTGTAAGGGCAGAAGGAGGCTGGGGGAAGCAGCCAGCGCGCCATCTCTGATTTCCACTGTTCGTGGAAATTGCTGTATCAATGCATTCGCTCCGCAGAGAGAGGCATCGAATTGGAATTACGCGGGTGGCGGGGGGCAGGAGCGGGGGCCGGCGGAGCAGCTGAGCCTTGTCAGAAACCTGTCGCCGAGTTCCTGAGATCTGCCCACACCTGGAAAGAGATGGGGGGCAACAGATGCCAAGCCTCGGGGAAGAGGAGGCCCCACACCTTCTGCCCTGGGCTGCTCCCCACAGTCTGTCCGAGAGAGTTGGGGGGCTGGCTGATGCTGCCGACTTGCAGGGCTGGGAGCAACCCGCGGAGGGCGTCGAAGCTGCCTTCTTTAGCATCTCCCAGATGAGGGCCTGAAAAGCAGAAGCAGGTTTCTAACCATGAGGGGTGAAGGAAGGGTTTGGAAGGAAAGGGCCACCGTTCACTCATCCACCCCTGCCCTGCCCCGGGACAGCTGTTCTGTCCGAAACAGAGACGTGCAAAATGTTTCAGGGTTCAGACGTGTGGGACCTGAACGGCCTGAGCCTGAAACAGTCATTTTGCGTTCAGAGGGGTCGTCCTACCTTCCCTGGGAGCGTTCAAGCTGTTTCTACCGCCCCAGAAGTGCTCAGAGTTCAAAATGGGCCCCTTTGACTTTGGAGCACTTTGAAAAGGTTTGGGAGAGGGTTGGAGCATTTCTGGGAAGGACAGAACAGCCTCAGTTCTAAACATGTAACGTCTGAAACGCGCTGCGTGCCATTGCACCCTAGAGACCTGCATCTGGCCGGGGGAGACCCTTCTCGGCCACCCAGAGGCCAGGAAAGCGGGGAGCAGCATTGCTTGGGGGACTTTCCGAGAGAGGAGCCTAAGTCAGATTTGCAAGCCCTTGGTCTTCTATGACTAACCGACTAGAATAAATGGTACAACCTGGCAACAAGAAACAAAGCAGGAATTAATGAATTTGAACAATACGATGTCTATGCCAGCTTCGTGCAGTTCTTATTTTACAGCATCTGAATTAGCTGTGAGCAGAAATCTCTGTTTTTCTTTTGATGGGAAATACGCCATTGCGGTCACAGAGGGTCTTCCTGTAGGTAAGGAGGATTCCCATGTGCGTTTTGCATCAGGCAGTTGCAAGGCATTTCATTCAGGTGTGATGAGGGTCTGGCTGCATTAATTTTAGGGCTGAAGTTTCTAGCCCTTAAGGACCCAAAAAACGGGATGGAAGTTGGCCATCAGCGCCAGGAAGTTGCTAAAGCAAGAGTGAAATATGTTCCCGGGGATTCTGGAAGCTTCGGTTCTCTTTGTTTCGCCCTGTAATTAACAGAAGCAGAATCAATTAAGCAAAATGTGAGCCCATTTGCATGATGTATGCAGGCCCGAAGTCTTTCCCTTAGCAGGGTGCAGCATTTTTATTCAAGCACAGCATGCAACCCAAAGCCCACCTTTGGCCTGGCACTCTTGCAGATCCCAAGCCCTCCCCCACCTGAGCAGGCCAGCCAAAAACCCGGGCCCTGTTTTTCAGTTTTCAGTAGAGTTTAAGAAACAAAATGATTCCCCTAAAATGCGTCACGTCTCCTTCCGCTTTGGGCCAGCAGCAACTGTGCCTTTAGAGCACCGTCCCCCAAGTCATCAGCTGGCACAGCCTTCCAATATGATTTCACTGCACAAGCAGAGATCTCTGTGTGCTCAGTCCTGCTCTGCCCATTTTACAGACCGGGCAACTTGTTTGAGGCCCAATCGGGCCGCTTTGGAAGCGAAGCTTCAGGCTTGGCACGGAGTTAACGGCCCCGCAATTAACGCGCCTTAGCAACAGCCTGATGGGCGTTAAATTTAGCAGCGTTCTCTAGCAGGGAGACCAGGAACGGGAAGGGCCACCCCGGTGCTAAATTCCTGGGCTGCTGCGGTCCGTCCAGGCCGGACTGCAGCAAGGGAGCAGCTGCTACAACCTGCCCAGGCAAGCGAGCCTGGCTCAAGCAAGCTGGACTCGGATCCCCTGCCAGCTGTTAACCGTGCTAATATTGGGAGTCCCACAATGGCTATAAACAAGGTTCAATGGGTTGTAAAAAAACCAACATTTAATTAATGGGAAAGCGTAGGGATGGTGCAGCCACCTGGCTAGAATTTCGGACATCTGGCAAGAAGAGACTCGCGCTGGCGTCTTTTC